GCGCCCAGCACAACAGCGCCCCAGTGCCCCCGGCCAGCCCGACAGCGCCCGTGCGTGTCCCGACTGCGCCCAACCGTGCCCCGATCGTGCCAGCGAGCAGCCCGTGGTTCGTCCCAAGACTTCTTTATATTTTTCCTGAACTTTTGTGTGTGCCTTTGACCCGTTTGACTTTGTTTTGCATGATAAGTCCATGTGTGGTGTTTATATGCATTTTTTGTCAAGTCTAAGTGTTAGGTCCGAATGTTCCAATGTTCACAGAACTTCACAAACTACTTAGTTGAATCAAGTTCGACCAATGTAAGCTTGTGTTTGTTCTCTAAGGTCAAATAGGTGTTGATCTTAGCATATTAATTGTTGTAGGTGTTTGACGAGCCGTGCTAGCTGCCTACTCCTGATTTTGTGCCATTTTCCTTTGTTGTACCAGGTGGATCTTATTTAAATTGTCTATGCCATGAATGATGAATGTTTATACTTATGGGTATGATCTATGCATGAACATGAAATATGTAGCCTATCGATGTGAGTTGTTACGGCCGTCGGTACGGTTGTCCCCGTCGATGTAATACAGTTGCCCTTGGGAGGCAAGTCTCCTTATGTCCTGATATGGTCGTGCCCTTGTGAGGTACGTAAGCCCATATGGAAGGTCGTGTCCGTAGCGTGGCATGTACTCCCACCTTCGGGTAATGAATCCCCATTCTGCGGCTAGCGATAGATATGCACAGGAGTAATGTGGTTTGTTGTGATTTTGATAGGAGATGAGACATGATGTGATTATCTTATATTCATGTTGCGACCATACCATTTGACATGTGTTATTTATGTGCATAGTAGTGAGCACTACATTCATTTTGTGCTCACTCCCACCTGCTCTTCACGGATGCAGGTTAAGCAGGTGCCAGATGACGGGGGAAAGACGAGTGGGTCGGTCATGATTTATGTTTTTATGATTTCGCTTCCATTATGAATAAAGTGTGGTTCTTGAGACGTGTTGAACTATTTTCAAAACTTGTCCTTTTTGGGATTATTGGACCCTTTGTGTAGATATTCATATTGGAGTTATTTATTGAATATCATATGTTTTCGATTTTGCATGCTATATTGTTTAGCTAATAATCATGTCGAATTGAAGTTTTAAAGGTTAATGAAAACCATGTGAACAACCAGATATGACTTGATTGATGTTAAATGTTTGAATAACGCCCATGTTTTCGAAAATGAGTTCGAAAAATTATGTACTGATTTTTGGAAAGTTCGGAATTTCTTTAAAATCGAAATGGGGTGTTACAGACTGTAACGCCCCGTTCGATTTATAGAATTTCAAGGATTA